GTCATGCAATGCACGTGCCATGCATGTCATACAACGCGCTGTCATGGAATGCAGCGTCATGCAATGCACTGTCATCATGCCATGCCCTGTCATACAATGCGCTGTCAATTCAGTGTTATGCAATGCAACATCATGCAATGCGCTGTCATCATGCCATGCACTGTTATACAATGGGCTGTTATGCAGTGCAACAAAATGAAATGCAACGTGATGCAGTGCGTGCAATGCACGTCATGCAATGCACTGTCATCATGCAATGCTCTGTCGCACAATGCGCTGTCTTGCAATGCACTGTCATGCAATGGCCTGTCATCATGACATGCCCTGTCATACAATGCGCTGTCAATTCAGTGTTATGCAATGCAACATCATGCAATGCGCTGTCATCATGCCATGCACTGTTATACAATGGGCTGTTATGCAGTGCAACAAATGCAATGCAACTGTCAGTGCGTGCAATGCGCGTCATGCAATGCACTGTCATGCAATGCTCTGTCGCACAATGCCTGTCATTGCAATGCACTGTCATGCAATGGCCTGTCATCATGACATGCCCTGTCATACAATGCGCTGTCAATTCAGTGTTATGCAATGCAACATCATGCAATGCGCTGTCATCATGCCATGCACTGTTATACAATGGGCTGTTATGCAGTGCAACAAAATGAAATGCAACGTGATGCAGTGCGTGCAATGCACGTCATGCAATGCACTGTCATCATGCAATGCTCTGTCGCACAATGCGCTGTCTTGCAATGCACTATCATGCAATGGCCTGTCATCATGACATGCACTGTCATACAACGCGCTATCATGCAATGCACTGTCATTATGCCATGCACTGTCATACAATGCGCTATCATGCAATGCACTGTCATGCAATGCAACGTCATACAATGCTCTGTCATGGAATGCAGTGTCATGCAATGCAACGTCATGCAATGCGCTGTCATTATGCCACGCACGGTCATACAATGCGCTATCATGCAATGCACTGTCATGCAATGCAACGTCATACAATGCTCTGTCATGGAATGCAGTGTCATGCAATGCTCTGTCATGGAATGCAGCGTCATGCAATGCACTGTCATTATGCCATGCCCTGTCATACAATGCGCTGTCAATTCAGTGTCATGCAATGCAACGTCATGCAATGCGCTGTCATCATGCCATGCAGTGTTATACAATGGGCTGTTATGCAGTGCAACAAAATGAAATGCAACGTGATGCAGTGCGTGCAATGCACGTCATGCAATGCACTGTCATCATGCAATGCTCTGTCGCACAATGCGCTGTCTTGCAATGCACTGTCATGCAATGGCCTGTCATCATGACATGCACTGTCATACAACGCGCTATCATGCAATGCACTGTCATTATGCCATGCACTGTCATACAATGCGCTATCATGCAATGCACTGTCATGCAATGCAACGTCATACAATGCTCTGTCATGGAATGCAGTGTCATGCAATGCTCTGTCATGGAATGCAGCGTCATGCAATGCAACATCATCATGCCATGCACTGTCATACAATGCGCTGTCGATTCAGTGTCATGCAATGCACTGTCATGCAATGCACTGTCATCATGCAATACCCTCTCCTACAATGGGCTGTCAATTCAGTGTCATGCAATGCAACATCATGCAATGCGCTGTCATCATGCCATGCACTGTTATACAATGGGCTGTTATGCAATGCAACATGATGGAATGCAACGTGATGCAGTGCGCTGTCTTCATGCAATGCACTGTCACATAATGAGCTGTCATGCTGTGCAAGGTTATGCAATGCAACGTCATGCAATCAATGCGTCGTCATCATGCCATGCACTGTCATACAATGCTCTGTCATGGAATGCAGTGTCATGCAATGAACTGTCATAATACAATGGGCTGTCATACAATGGGCTGTCATGCAATAAAACATTGATGGAATGCAACGTTTTGCATTGCGCTGTCATCATGCAATGCACTGTCATGCAATGCGCTGTCATCATGACATGCACTGTGATACAACGCGCTGTCATTGAATGCGGTGTCATGCGATGCAACGTCATGCAATGCACTGTCATTATGCCATGCACTGTCATACAATGGGCTGTCATGCAATGCAACAAGAGTGGATGCAACGCCTGTCACACAATGTGCTGTCATGCACTGCAACATGATGGAATGCAACGTCATGCAGTGTGCTGTCATCATGCCATGCACTGTTATACAATGGGCTGTCATGCAGTACAACATGATGGAATGCAACGTCATGCAGTGCACTGTCATCATGCTATGCACTGTCATACAATGCGCTGTCATGGAATGCAGTGTCATGCAATGCAACGTCATGCAATGCGCTGTCATCATGCCATGCACTGTCATACAATGGGCTGTCAATGCAGTATCATGCAATGCAACGTCATACAGTGCAGCATCATGCAATGCACGGTCATACAGTGGGTTGTCATGCAATGCAACATCTGGGAATCGTCATCATGCAATGCACTGTCACACAATGTGCTGTCATGCAATGCACTGTCATGCAATATCATGCAATGCAACATCATGCAATGCAGTGTCATCATGCCATGCACTGTCATACAATACGCTGTCATGCAATGCAGTGTGATGCAATGCAACGTTATGCAATGCCCTGTCATGCAATGCAGTGTCATGCAATGTAAGGTCATGCAATGCGCTGACATCATTCAATGCACTTTTGTCATGCAATGTATGGTAGGTTGACGACATGCATGCGAAATGGTGCAAGCTGTCATATTGACTGCCAAAGGTCATAAAATTGGAAAGAGTGCAGTGCCGTACAAATCATGGAAGCGGGAAGGTAGCTTGTCAAGCACTAACATCATGCAGCTGGAGGCATCTAAACAAATTACCTGTGACAAACATTGACAAACTGGTGGAAGAGAAAGAGCGCGCAGCGGACAACACAAAAAACAAAACCCCCGCCCAAAACATTGAGATTCCTCTTCCTCCAACGCCGCTGCCCGTTTTTGCCCGCGCCCCACCGGTTGCTCAAGCTGGGTTTGCTTGCCTAGCACCAACCGCAACACGAGAGAAGGCTTAGGCTAAGCTCACTCGCTGTGAGTCTCACTCGTCCTCGCCAGATCTTGCAAGTGTGCCCGGCCCAGCCAAGAAAAATAGGCTCAGCACTCAAAATCTTGAGGCCACGGAAGCAAAGCTTCCTCAAAGGGGTCACCAGAGGTTCCCCCCACGGGCGCTGCCAAGATGAGGTTCACACGAGCCGTCCCCGGGTCTTTAGACAAGCCCTCCTACACAGCCAACCGCGAAGCCCCACCCCCACAATCCCCAAGCATGCAGTGGAGAGAGGAATAAACCTCCACACAGGGCCAGCAAAGCTGCCTTTCGTGCCGCATGCTCAGAGACCGCAGGCTAACTCAAGTATTGTTGAAGGGCCAAGCAAGCAAACCCAGCCATCGCTTCCGCCAAGAAGCGAACAAAAACGTGCTACAACATCTTCAGCTTTGGAATCTCAAGGGTTTGGTCTTTGTTTCCCTTTTATAACCGCAGTATTTCGCAGGCAGTCTCACACCAAGGAGACCGGGACAGTGAGAGACAGGAGCTGCGGCCCATGATGGCAAATCAACTCAATTGATTTGTCGCCGAATCAAAATTCACAACAAAATGTATCAATCCTCTGCTGCTATGGCATCGATTCAAAATAGTGATGCTCGCCTAAGGTAATGACCCTTGGCCATGCCACTGTCTGAATGGCCTGCAACTAAGTATAGCCCAATAACTGACTATGGCAGAATCAGGCCGGAACTCCACCAAATGAAAATCACCTGGTTCAAGATTCTTTCACCACCCTCACCCACACATTGAATACCAAAACTTGATTGATGGTTGAAGAGTTGAATATGAATATGATGGTTGAACTGGACTCCTAAACTCTTCCATCCTTGCAATGGATGGCTCCTCGCATTTTTCTGCATATGATTTTGCGGGCATGTATTGTGAACCGCCCACCCAAAACCTGACATTTTTGTTTTTATATTTTTTGTCTTTTCTTAACGCATTTAGAAGCACGATGCAAGAAGCCATCAAATTCCATCAAATCCATTGTTTATTCAATGTTGTTCATGTTCTTGTCTTCTCCAGCATGCGCATTGCGGATGCTTGAGCGCTCTGGTGTAGCAAAAACAAATAGGTGTTATAAAATTGGGGCCCTGGCATGCAGTACATTGCAGGTAGCTACAAAATAGGAACCCTTTGGTGACCAAGTTGTTTCATGAAACCATACATTGATACACTATAATATTGGCAACTGAACAAAACCACACAAAACCGACATATGTCACTATAGAATTGGAGCCTCATATAAAATTGGAGCCTAAAGTCACTAAATTTAGGCACCCAAAAAAATCAAAACTGGGACCCGGAGGTTTGAGATAAAAAAAAATCGAGCCCACCAAAACAAGGTAAACAGGGCAGCTGAAATTGAGGGGGGACCTGTATAAAAAATCGTTTTATACAGCACCTAGGTGTCCCAATTCTATAGGGTAAATTGGCTAGGGGATGAAAAATGACGAATTTATATATATATATATTTAGAAAAGTAAAGAACCTGTGTGGCAAAACAAAGTCTGCTTGAGAAAAACAGAAACAGGCTGCATAGAGATGTACAAAGGCTTTGAGAGCAAAAACCACATGGGCCATGGGGAGAAAAACATCAACATGAAATTGGGCATATTCTACCTGCATTTTCGGCAAATTTGCCTGCGGAATGGAAACAATGCATATTCTCTGTAAGCGGAGAACCTTATATATATATATACATATATATAATAATAGGTTCTGTGTCTATATCTGCACATATGTACTATTTTGTAGTCATATCAATATTTTAATCTAGACTGGTTGTTCATTGATCCTGAAGTGCACTGTTGCTTGATGGTGATTAGGTGGATCAGTTTTGATTTTGATACTAACTATATCGAAATATTCCAACTCATTCAATTTTTGATTTTGGCCAACATCCAGCATAAATCCCAGCACCCTCCGATTTTACATTCTATCTACTTTAGGATCACTAAAATGCTTCTCACTGAACCGGATGTAAGCCTCCAGCAGACTTCTCTGCACATCTGAAGAAACATACCATATCTAACTACATGTGTCTATGTTCACTGCCGCCTGCATGCCATAAGTTTTAGATTGCTTCAGAGATTTCATGCCTGTAGTAGTTCTGGTATCTTCCAATGGCATGTGACGCAAGGAAAATCTTCCAGAGTGTCTCACTCAAGAGCAAAGGGCTGCCGTTTGATCAGGGGAGGTATGCAAAGCAGGATTGTCGCTTTTCCTTTTGGCAAGGCTTTCAAGTCGAGGCTTTCAAGGATTCTCGCATACTCTTCACAGCGCTCTCATAAGCCTGGCTATTCCAGCGGAAGGTGAACTCCAGCAGTCTCAAGCGCAACCCAAGGAATCCAACAGCTAAAAGTTACACGTCAAGAGCGTCTCTCTCTGGGCGCCTGCCGTGTGAGCCACAGCACAGCCAGGCGCTCCTGTGGAGGCAACGCGATGCAACCAAAACGCAATCCATTCAAACAAGCAAGCCCAGCAACTCATCTACTCACCCCCAGTGTCTGGTTGACTGCGTGTTTGATACGCTCGTCAATGCAGCGACTCAGTCATTCACCGCTTGACAAAAAACCAATCTAGCATCCAATCAGTCAGTCAACCAACCAATCGGCCACAGGGTCCGTCAAACACTTGCATCCAAACTTGTCGAGGCAATGCTGGTGTTACAGGCTGCTGCTAGCACGAAGAAAAAATCGATATATGAATACCTTATTATCATGTTATGAATTCCTTATTATCTTTAGTTTATCTTTATTTTGGCGTGTTTCCGCCAATCTTTTCGAAATCTGCGCAGAAAACGTCCCGCCTGGCCCTTAATGACGCTGCCTCCTCGATTGCAAACCATCAACACGCAAACAAAACAGTTGCCAAACAAGAAACGGCACAGATCTGGACAAATATTCAGCACCGAAGGAAAAGGCTCAAAAAAATAACGAAAGTGTGCGACATGGCACTCTCAAAACCAGTGCCTTGTTCTGCTTTCCTCTTTTTTTTGCTTGATCCCCTCAGCCACGCAGCCGAGCTTTGAAACTCCCTAGTTGTGGCAGCGAACCCAACAGATTGCAGAAATATGCATGGTGGTCGTGATATCACTTCTACCTTGTCACCCCCCTCCTCCCCTCCACCCTTGAAAAAATAAACCGTAAATATTTCAAAGGGGCTTGACGTAAGTTCGGTTTATCGACTTTAAGTGGGCTACCTGGAAATAATTTTCCTTCCCATCCCCCCAAAATGCCTTTCCCCAGCATGATATTTTTTGATCTTCCAATTATTTGAAGGGGTTGCCACATGTCACGCTTCAACGGCAACTCTCCTCCACCCCCCCACCTTCCACCCCAACTCAATGTGGAAAATAAAAAACATGTTTTGAAATATTATGAGGGATGCCTTCAGAGTATGACCCGTCAACATAATTACATCAAAATTTCTAGTATAACAAAAGGAACCCCCTACCCAAAATTTGTCCCGGCAAGAGACCCCAAACAGTGTGGGGGAGTGGGAGGATACTGTATGGTAATGTGGATGATGATGATGGTGGTGATGATGAATAATAAAAATACGATATAATACAGTAATAAGAAGAAGAATAATAATAACAAGAATAACAATAACAAGAACAATAATAATAATAGTAATGCTAATAATAATAACAATAAAATAAAATTATTGATGATGAGGATGATGATGATGATGATGGTGAGGATGAAGACGATGGTGAGAATGATGATGATGATGATGATGATGGTGGTGATGATGATGATGAGGATGACAATGCAGAAGATGAAGTGGAGGATGAAAAGGTGGAGGATGATGATGTAGAGAAGGAGGAAGATGATAATGTTGAGGAGGATAAGGTTGAGGATGATGATGATGACAAGGATGATAACGTTGGAAAAGATGAGGTGGAGGATCATAGTGTTGCGGAAGATGAGGCGGATGATAGTGATGTTGAGGATGATGATGTCAAGGGAGAGGAAGATGATGTTGATGCTGAGGAGGAAGAAGATGACGATGATGTTGAGGAGGATGATGTTGAGGAGGAAGACCATCCCAAGACCGGGGCCCACACTTTGTGCGGGCCTGCGCAGTCGAAACGCATGTCAAGATCTCACAAGAGCCACTATACGAAAACTTACGGGAAAAATGCCGCAGCCCAAAACCATGGCCCACGCTTGTGCGAGCCTGCGCAGTCGAAACGCATGTCAAGATCTCACAAGAGCCACTATACGGAAACTTACGGGAAAAATGCCGCAGCCCAAAACCATGGCCCACGCTTGTGCGAGCCCGCGCAGTCGAAATGCATGTCAAGATTTCACAAGAGCCACTTTATATATACGGAAATTTACAGGAAAAATGCCGCAGCCCAAAAGCACGGCCCACACTTAGTGCGAGCCCGCGCAGTCGAAACGCATGTCAAGATTTCATGAGCCACTTTATATATACGGAAATTTACAGGAAAAATGCCGCAGCCCAAAACCACGGCCCGAGCCTGTGCAGTCGAAACGCATGTCAAGATTTCACAAGAGCCACTTCATATGGAAATTTCCGGGATAAATGCCGCGGCCCATTTTGAAATATTTTGCTGGATATTCCATCCCTTCAAAAAATATGCGGGGATATCAATATTAACCAGGTAAATTTGACCAATAATTTTCGTAAGGGGTAGGTTTACGGATGTGCACGTTGGAATATGATGGAATATGCGAATCATGATCTAACCCTTCAATATACCCTGGAATAATTAGGTTTTGAAATAAGTTCATACGATCTTCAAATCGTTGAAAAACACCTATAATATCCTATAATACCTTCTCTCCTTGGGAATTCCCGCGCAATGGTGTTCAACCATCATCTTCATCACTGGTTCTTTCTTGCATATTTCCTATTGTTCATACTCCTTTCTATTTCTTCCATATTCCCTTCATCTCCTTCCAAAGAAGTCTCGATGGGGAATGAGTGGGAAAGGGCAAGCGTTCGGTTTTTATAGGTTTTTGACTTTGGAGCTTCTGGGTGAGTTGGGTGATTCTGGCAGCTGCTCACTTTGGTTTTCAGACGCTTTCATACTTCCCCTATTTCTCCCGTTTTCCCTTCATTTCCCTCCAAAGAGCTCTCGATGGGAAGCGCTCGTTTTTTTAGAAGGTTTTGTGTCATTTTTCCAGTTCCTGGGCGAGTTGGCAGCTGCCCACCTTGATTTTTGAGGAGCGCACGGCACCTCCAATATCCTTAGAATAATTTCTTAAAGAACGTTTTTGGTTGCGGGTTGCAAGTTTTGATGCGTTCGTGGTGCAACTTAGCCCGAAGGGAGATTTTGGATGATTTTGGCACGACTAGCAGGGAGCACACATGAAACATGATGTTTGAATTTATTTGCACTTTAGGATTCGCAACGCATCGATCCTAAAAAACAACAAGAAACAACATAAAAACAAATCAAACACCTTTGCAAACCCAACATTGTGCAGGATTTCGTGATGATTTACTTTGCGTTTCAGTTGGCTATGCAATGCTACGCATCCCCTTTGTGGCTATATTCCCCAAACAGTGTGTCCACAGTGAGGGGTTCTTACGGTAGTTGTAAAGGCCGGTGCTTGATCAGGGTGCTGACTCTGCTTTCCAACACACTGAATATGATATAATTTTCCCGGGGTCTGACCCCACTGAAATTATTTCCACTGAAAATTATTTTGGCGCAAACTTGACCTTATCTTAAACCTCTTGGAAATAGCTAAATATCCAAATTACTTTGGGAAAATTATGTTGGTACGTGACTTCCCCCAAGTACCAGTAGTACCGCACAAGGCGGTGGCGGAAGTTTCAAAAATAGGAAACCTATAGGAGAGGTTGGTTGTTGTGAATCAGGGATGGCAAAGCGAATCCACTGATGGACCGAAAGGTGCTTGAGGTCTCCTCTCTGTCTCTCTCGTTCTCTGACTATCTACCTACCTATCTATCTTCTATGTATCTATCTATCTAGCTATCTATCTCTCTCTCTCTTTCTCTCTTTCATCTAATTACCTATCTACCTATCTACCTATCTACCTACCTATCTATCTATCTATCTAACTATCTATCTATCTATCTCTCTCTCTCTTTCATCTGTCTATCTGTCTATCTGTGGTGCAGTGTCATTCAGTGTATTGTAGTGTAGTGTAATGTAGTGTAGTGGAATGTAGTGTAGTGTAGTGTAATGTAATGTAGTGTAATTTCGTGTAGTGGAGTGTAGTTGTGTAGTCGTAGTTGTAGTGTAGTGGAGTGTAGTGTAGTGTCATGTAGTGAAGTGTAGTGGAAAGTAGTGTAGTGTAATGTAGTGTAGTGTAGTGGAGTGTAGTGTAGTGGAGTGTAGTGTAATGTAGTGTAGTGTAGTGTAATTTAGTGTAGTGGAGTGTAGTGGAGTGTAGTTGTGTAGTTGTAGTTGTAGTGTTGTGGGGCGTAGTGTAGTGTAATGTAGTGTAGTGGAGTGTAGTGTAGTAGTGTAGTGTAGTGGAGCGTAGTGTAGTGTAATGTAGTGTGAGTGAGTGTAGCTAGTTGTGTAGTTGTAGTTGTAGTGTTGTGGAGTGTAGTGTAGTGTAATGTAGTATAGTGGAGTGTGGTGTAATGTAACGTAGTGTAGTGTAGTGAAGCGAAGCGGCGAAGCGACATCTGAACCTCCAAAAGTGGTCCGAACCCCTAGTGTTTTGTACATTTTGACTTCGAAATGTGCTTCGCGCCACAACGGCGTGCAATTTTTCATCTCTCATCTGGCCAGCTGGCTCCGCACCCGCCGCTTTAGCGAGCCTACTTTTCGACCCTCCGGAGCCACAAATCATCGGAAAAACACAGTGTTTCGCGACTTTCCTACCTTTTCGCGCATCTGCATCTTCTTTCTTCTGACTCTTTCTCTTCTACTCTTCTCTCTTCTGATCTTTCTCTTCTCTCTGCCTCTGCCCTGCTCTGCTTTTCATCTGTCCATATTGTCGGAAGTTTGACTTCTAAACTTCCTTCGACTATTGCTAAAGTAGCAGTGATGTCGTGGTTGTGAGACACATGATGCACAGAGAATGTTCCGTTTAAGGACTCTCTCAGTCACACCTCGCTTTCTGTGTGGTACACGACCGCTACGTGCACCGCGCTGGAGATCACTATGCGCGACTCTCAATGGTTGTGCATGATTTCGAAAGCGCAACGTCTGGTGATGTTAGCAACCCAACGACCTCTGCAATGTTTGGAGCTATAGTTTGTGCTGGGATCTCCATAGCAAACCACACACATTGCAACGGAGCAAGGCTGAGACCCGACAAGCTGAAGCCGAGCTGCGGCTGCGATTGAAACGACGACGGGCCCTCTTTGGATGGCTGCGAAAAGCTTGAAACAAAGGAGGCAGCCTGGGCCAGCGCCAACTCCTGGACAAATCATGCAACACGAAATGAACATGTCCATGGTGAACACATCATAGACTCATGTCATGGACACATGGCGGGCGAGTGTCCAATTGAATGCTCCTCCGCACGTGAAAATAGGAGGCGAGAACCGTCCTTGTGCTGAAAGGTCTGACCTTGAACAAAGCTTCCGAATATCCATCATCATACAGCATCAGTACTCATAGCGGTCTCAGATGCTTCAGTTGTTGTGGATACTTGTGGTTTCTAGAGTCGCGTGACAAGATGTGACGAATATATGATTACTATTGATTACTCCGTCAGTTGAAGATTCTTTTTCGCATCAGGAGGGTTTGGGGTGAACCCCAATCAACGCCAATCGTTTTCGTAGAATCTCTATCAAAATGAATTCATCCGCAGTTGGCTCCACTTTAAACTGATCAGTGGGGAATTCCAGCCTTCTGATTCAGCTGCTGCAGATAGCGAATGGCAGCGCGCCAGGCAAATAAAGTGCGTGAAGAAATAGAAGGGTCGCTCCTGGCTGTCAAACTGATGGTGGTTGGGCATGTTAGATGTTCGCATGCATGAGGGCAAGGCGGGGTGATTGATCTATTTTGGCGTTTATTGTGTGCATCTGATTGCAACCATGGGATCTATGCGCCGGCTAACTCACAGTTAAGCGAAACCATAGACACAGAATGTTGGCCAAATTTGGGTATTCTGCTACTGTAGGTTTCTCAGTCCGGTTCCAAACATCTCAACTGGTGAGTTGATGCAGCAATTTGACGTGGCCACGGTTTTGCCTATGCCTGCAACACCACCACTTTCCGTATTTTTTCCTACGCAGGCGCCTTCAATTTCAATTTAAATCACATGATGCCATGACAAGATCTGACATGCACCAGCACTTAAAGTCGAATTCTTTTCATCTTCCCGTGCGAGTTATCATCAAGAAATACCTGTACAAACACAGCAACACCATCAAACATCATATGAATCATATTATGCAACTTTTGACAGGTGCCAATTCTGCCATCTGCCCTGGAGGCCCTTTCATGTTCTCTCAGCCATTTGGATATGCTTCAAGTGGAGGTGTGTATGGTCTTCCGTTGTACATGCGCTCATAGATCTTTTGCTTGTGAAAAACCTAACTACTTTAGTGTCTGAAGCAACCTCGTGCCACTGACTACACCCAGAATCATTGAGCCAAGGGGGTCAGACAACTTTCAGGAGGACCTTCTGCAGACTGTCTGCGCGTAAGGCATTGTCCTACCAGATCTATGAATCAACCTGCAATTCTATGAAAAGTAGTCCAAGTCTAGGAGCCCATACGGGACAGGCCACGGTCAACGATCGTATCAGTTAAAGGAAAGCATTGCCGCAGCTTGGCGTCCACTCTGTGATGGTATGGGGTGTGGCCTCGTGTGTCTCGCTGTGTGTCCGCTGCTTCTTCCCTGCTTCGTGCCCATGCCCTTGCCTCACTCCTGCCCTACTCCTGCCCTCCCCAGTTTGCACCGCCTATATTTGGTCCGAGCAATGAACAGGACTCCAGCAGATTTCTATGCTAGATCCCTGTATCCTGCTAGGTTTCAGTCCATTCCCTCCCCCCCGCTCTCTCTCTTTCTTCCCTTTTTGCCACTGTTACAAGCCTTTTTGATCCTAATTGCAGCCAGAGGCCTGCTGATGACCCACCTTTACCATCCTTGCCTTTACATTGCCTCTCTGTTTGCTCAGCTGGATACAGTACCGGGCGGTGATTGTAAACTTGCAGGCATACAATCTTTGTTCGCACTGAATGGACATGTAAGGGCAAGATTTTGATGTTGGAAGCTGGCAGCATGAAGCATTTCCTCTCTGCCAAATAGCTTTACGATAGGATGTGTAAATATCTTTTGCTCAGCTGTTGAACAGCTCTTGGTTCTGTTGTACCAATGTGAACAAGTGTCTATGCAGCTTTGAAAGAACAACCCAGGGAGATCACGCAGGTGAAACAGTGTCAACACTGGGCCATGGCTCCTCTGGGGGACAGTACTCTGTAGAGCAAGACCAGCTGATATCTTCCAGAATCACGTTGTGCATGGCTGGTATAACTTCCAGCGGTAGATTCACAAACCTTTCTGAGATGATCAAACCCACTTGCTCTTTTCCAGAAGCTTGTGCTGGCCCTAGTATGTACTGCTGCAACTGCTTGTCCAGCCTGAGTTTGAGCAGAGCAAGAAGAGTTTTGCACCAAGCTTCTTCAGCGAATTGCTTCAAATTCAAGATTGTCAGCATGCCACAAAGGGTCACGTCGTCTTCCTCAGAAGCCGCCTCCTGTGTCTGCGTCTGCTGTGCCTCTTCGACCCCTGACTTCACCATTGTTCCAATATTGACCTGATCCACGATACTGTTTGCAAGGCTGGAGAAATCCAAATCCAAGCTGCCCAGAGTGCCACTGCATAGCAAATCTCGAACACTATGAAAATCATCTTCTTCTGGATCAAAGAATTCGAATTCAACTTCAAAAGTTTCATTCAATCTGCTGGAACCAGCTGCGGAGTCCCTGATGTTCTGGATTTGCGTCGCTTCAAGCTCTTGAGCCTCTTGAGCCCTTCTCTTCGGCTGTTTGGAACCTTTGCCAAGGCTTTGGGCTTTTGTTTTTTTCTTTGCAGGAACTTGCCCGTCTTTGACCGAGGCAACTTCACCTCCTGACTTCTCCTTGCTGCTTGGGGTTGGTCGACGCTTTAACCTCCCCGATTTGCCCATGAGACAAGGATCTACAGACTAGATCAAACTAGTAGGCAGGGAATTGCAGCCGGTGTGAAATTGGCACTATGTGGCACTATTACGCACCATTGCAATGTGATGCTGGTGGAATGCAGGCCTTCACAATGTTAGTATCCTGGTCAACCCTGGTGAATCCCCGTGAATGTGATGCGCTACTCAACAGAAACTTGCTTAGCCTGATCTTTCAATGTTTGGGCCAATAGTCCGGGCACATGCTATGACCAGTCCAGCTGAGCTGACAATTGTCTTATGAGCGAAGCTGATTCTGCACAAGGAATCGACTAAACGCTAGAAATACCTAATCATAGTAAAACAGAATCAGCAAAAACATGCAAAAACAACCATGACCACCCATCCATGGAGCAATGTACGAGTGGTGTGCATTCCAAACAAATTCTTTCATGCAGACTATCTTCTTCGGCTAAATGCAAAAGATGCAAGGCCCCTGCGTGATACTGAGTTCTGCCACCGGACTGTCAAGTTCATTATTGTAATCAGCTGGCGCGTCTAGTGGCTTTGTATGTTCTGTTCAAGCTCTGATTGCAATAACCATCAACATTCTCAACAGCAGTGTTTAGCTGATACTTCCTCGGCGGCACTTCAAAACCGCGCAAATGTTTGACCGGCGTCAAAAAGACAATTTCAAATGTTCTAAGAATATCTAGGCCTTCTAAACCGGCACTTGCGGTGAATTACAGTTGAATTGGAAAGGAGCCTGTCCAGGTTGTCAGAGCAATCTGTCAAGGGGCATGTCATTCCTGCCCTCGTGTGATCTGGCTGGGTTTCTTGCTTGGAAGCTATACAGTGTCACTTCAGACTGGATAGGTTCAAGATGATTTAAGCACTTTCATCCACCTTTTATTCACGCAGGAATGAAGCACATTGCGCAGCTGCTGTTGCCATCTCCTTGCAAGCTATGACAGGCGACAGTCCCACCGTTATGTCGGGTTCGGACTGATATCGTGCGACGCACAATGCCATTTAGAATCGTTTAGAATCATTTAGATGGGATTGCAGGCTTGACCATTTCTGCTCTCCAAAAATGCGAGCAAGCGGCATCTATTTGTTGTTGTCGAGGACTCCTTGACAGCTAAGTACGCAAACATACAAGATTCCAGGAAAAGCCTCAGCAAATTCAGTTGTCTCTGGCTGGCGGCTGGTTTGCAAATTAAGTCGAAGTCAAGTAGACCTTGGCAGCCACAGCGGATACCTGAAGCTGCACTCGAGCCCGGCCCCCAGGAACAGCAAGGGCGCCAGACCCATCAGGGAAGAAATCTATCAACATTGTGGAAGCTTGAAGGTACAGCAGGGCAAAAAATTGTCTCATCCCAAGAAACATCAGGTTCGGATTCAAAATGATCTTAATTCACATAGCTGCACAGGTAGCCTTTTGTCAGTGTTCGGCGTAAATTTGGCAAGGTAAACGACATCCAACCAACACCCTAAGCCGAGGAAAAAACAAAGGACATATGATTGAGAATCCACATTTTACGGGTCCATCTGGACATTTGACAGATCTTCGTTAAAAGATAAGTTGAAGGCTTTCAGGTCAGACAGTGGCTCGGCATCTTCTACTTCTTGCTCTGGAATTGCAATAGCATGACACGTAGTGACAGAATGTGATACATACACCAACAAATCGGAAATCATGGAACACTGGTATGAGTCCAACGTCGCTCCTTGAAGTCCTTTCCTCTTTTCATCATCCAGCTTCAACGTCCTAAGATGAAACCGCCAAAAAAACTTCATAACGTTTCATAAACCATTCATGATGATTCATGAGCACAACAAAGAGCAACATTGCACAAATGTGCAGAAATCAACTAGCCCAATTACAATTCGGCGAATTTCGGCAAGACCTCATGAGGATTTCTGGACATGTACTGAAGGTCTCAGCATTTGGCGCGCAATAGCTTCGACAGAACTCTGTCCCACCCGGACATGTTTCCTGCAACACGCCAGCAGAAAACTGAGGGGCTTTGTGAGCTTAGAGGAACTTAGCAAAACTTCTTTGGTTTGGCTTGTCGTATGGCCCTGATTTACTTGGATTTCGAGATGATTTGTTCTGGTGCAAAGTGCAATCCGAAAGAGTTGGAGGAGGGATTTGGCGAATGAAAGTCGATGCAAGCGTCCTTCCAAGGGCGGATGCACCTTCCAATTCCTGGCCGAAAAGAAAAGGCTCTTTCTGCTCACCGCTTGATGTCATAGATCTATGATCTACTTGAGACCCAAGGGGTGAACGAAAGGAAAGCTAAGGTTCATAATGTTCATATGAGCCTGAAAACATGACGGGATTGTGATATGCTGAATACAGATTGCCTAGAGACCTGGCAGGATTTGAGCCCGTGGCCATCTGCTTCCAACACCGCTTCAAAATGCCCCGGGAGCTTGGGGGGAGGGGGGGAAGGGGTGGGTTCGAATTAAAATCACAGTGTTGGACTCAGACCTGCCCCTCCCCTTGCTGGAGCAAGAGTAAAACCCAGCTAGCTACCGCTAGCTTTCGTGATATGAACTAACATGAACTAACCACAAGTAAAAATCTCTGGTGAAGGACGTCACACCAATTCTAATGAATGTGGGTAAAATTTTGCTCAAAAATCCCAGCATGAATGGAAGTACGAAGTACTGGTAGAATTCCCTCTGCTGACTCTGTTCGGTTGTTTCCCAACACAATCGAGCCGGCAAAAACGCACGCAAGCACCGCACAGGCCTTCACACCAAACAAATCCAGCTGATTGCAAACAGCCTCGCTGATCTCGATTTGGCCCCAGAGCTGAATCCTGGGATTTTTTTTCAAGATCAATGGAGCACAAAATGCCTCGGATTGTCCTAGTACGACAAGGTTTTTGGTATGTCTTGAGCGGCTTGGACCGTGATATCCGTGATACAATAATATACAATAATTCTAAATAGTAAGTCTATAACATTCTTACAAAAATTGCAACGGATGCAACGAATTTCCAGAACAAGTGAAAAGATCAGCAAAGAGAACAGTTTCAGTAATCAAGGAGGTCTTGAGCATTTCCTGGGAAGCACAGCTCATGTGTAGCATCCAAGCTTATGAAAAACAACACCGTAGAAACATCATACGAGGCAGGCTCTATTCTATTGTTTCGGTGTGTTTCCCTTTGCTACTTATGGCGCCCAATTGTTTTTTAATTTGTGGAGCCTTTTGTTCTTCAACTTGGAATATGTAATTTATTGTGTGTTTGATTCATTTGCGACCTTGGGTTTTGTATGAATTCCCCCGCATCTTTTCAAGGGATGGATATTATAAGATATTACAAGTATTGACATTCAGGACCTCATGCTGATATCTGTATGCCTATGCGCCTGAACTCTCCTTGATATGAAATCCTCCACAGATAAAAAATGCGATAGCCAAAATGGAAGGAGATGTGCTACACCGGTCACATTTCTGGGTCTACATCACCGGTCTGAAATGTGCAGTGACACAGACATCTTTCAATTGAATTGGAGATAAATGAGATAGCCTGTTACTGGGGCTGGCAGTGAGCCCGAACACATACAATCCAACGCAAATCAGTTCAACGATGTTTAACGCCAATGCATGCATACATATGGGTCACCCATATTAATACATGTCAACAAATGTCACCACATGTAAGGCAGCCACCTCGCGGATTTGCTGCGCAATACTTTGTTGCACATCTGGCCTCAAAGAAGATTGCTTACCCAATACTGGCGGACCACAATTGAACCCCTTCCCACGCAGACATCTGCATGACATTGGATATTTGCTGAATAGCAACGGCGATCCATGAGTCTTGTATGCAGGCTACATCAGCTCACACGCAGTCGGCGTCTAAAGCTCTGAATTCAAGTTGTTTTGATTACTTTAATATCAGGATTAGGGAATCATCCGGCTTCATCATTTCCTGTTCCGGCGATTCCTAAGAAATCTGAGGAGCAAACGGCTTTGCTGCTGTGAGCCAGCAAATCAAACAAAAAGCAGTCACTACCTCAAAGATCTAAGGGTCTGCTTTGCGACTCATTTTCCGATCAAAGAAATAATTTTACTTGACCTCATTAGTTGCATCAGGTACTAGCATCCCTGCTTCTAAACATTTTGGCCCTGCTGATTCCATTCGAGAACCCAACCATCGCTGCGAACATTGGACCGATGAAAGGCCACTGGCATGATGACTCTTGACCGTAAAGTTGCCTCACACTTCAAGTGCCAGAAAATTGTATGCGGTCATTGGCGAAAAACCCGTGAGCCAGATTCCCGCGATTTCCATTCAAAATGAAATAGGAAACGACGGAGCAAACTGTTTCGGAGTTTTAGAAATGCTGCTGCAATTCCTTGCCAGCACAGCAGTCAATGATACAGTATCAGCCAGAAGAATCAGTTGAGAGAAGTAGATGGGATGGCAACGCAATCCTGACAAGAGTCCCCTGCAGCAATCATGTCTGATAAAGAGCAACAGGAAGAATTTCCCTCTTGGAGTAGTCACCAAAGAAAGCCGTTCTTATGAGGCCAGTAGGTTTAGTAGGATGCAGTAGGATTCAATATGTACATGTTCGTCGTATTTTGTCATGTATAAAATGCAGCTTTCAGTTGTTGCTCGCAGGATTCCTCCTGAACTTCGCACATCCTGCCCAATCCCTGGCCTTGCACGCCCCATGAAGCTCCTGCTAGGCCAACGTATTCCAACAGCATCCAACAACCAGGTAACTACCACTGAGTAGTCTTAGTGGTCATGAATCTGCGAGGGAGGGGAAATAGAATATCTCAACAGGGAAGAAGTCGAATCCATCATCTCTCTGCATTTATTGAATCTGTTTGCCAGTCTTTGCCATCCCCAACGGAGCTGCAAGAGTCTACCTTTCGAGGAACCCAAACATATCCAAATATACCATGTCTGTTGTCACAGAAATATCCCTGAATTTCAAACATCTGCGCACCAACAGGGACTACACGTACCTGAATGGCAAGCATCAGGAAGCAACCGATTGCTTCGGCTGCCAGGTCGTTCTGGAGTCTTTATACATGTCTTTACTATATGTTTTGTGTAATAATCCTTCCATGTCTCTATTGACAAACAGCGCGTTAATTTCTCTGTTCAACTGTCAAATCTAAAATAGGGCCAATGACAGTAAACGTCGAGAAAAAATGATAGAAATAGCAAATCAAGAGAACTTGCTGCACCGAGGTATTGACACCACTTAGTTTTTACAATCTATATGTCTGATCGGAATGTACGAAAGTAAGAGCGGGTTTGAAACAATTTGATGCCAGAATCAATCAGAAAGCATTGAGCATTGAAGTGCGTGTGATATGCTTGCTTCATTGACTGGAGCGGATTTAAGCCGGTAGCAAAGTCCAGGAAGCAAGTCAGCGTAGCTGAAGAGGCTGACAATTCTCACAAAAAAGTGTTTCCGCGCTTTGATTTCTTTAATTATGTTGATTCCTTTCGGAGGACTTGCTTCTGAGTTAGGGTCAGGATGTCTGCCAAGTCCCGCTGCATTGCTGATATTTTCCGCAAGTGCTGTACAACATCTCAACGCAACTCGATCGAGGGAAGATCAAAGCAATTATAGGTGTGTACAGCTGTTTGAGCTCAAAGAAGATCGAGACGGCAGGCACTTCATCGACTGTATCTTTCTCAGTGCAAAAAGCTGAGCTTGGGTCTCGCCCACCAAATCCCATCACATCCATCGCCGGTACATCAGCTTCTCTGCGGGACAATGTCTGTTGGATCTGCGGGGCTTTCTCGCATGCCACATTCCTGCATCCACCTTCGACCAATTTCAACCAATTTCGACCATTCTGCATCGCAAACACTTCAATTCCATTCAATTCCATTCCTCGTCTCCAAAGATCTCCAAAGCCTTGACTAGCTGACTAGCTATCAGGGCCATGATCTGTTAAGCCATGCTCGCGAACAGAGGCAAAATATCGGGTCGTCTCCTCGGGCCCAGGAATCAATTACAGGGAAAAAACATGAAAACACATGGAAAAACCTCTAACGGATATCGCATTGACGACAACTATAATCTAAGCATATCTAAGACTTGTCTAAGCATCTATCAACATTATCCCTTTGATCAAAGGAAGTTTAGGGGGAGAAACTTCCGTGTTACGGACTTTTAGAATGTCAGGGAAAGAGTTAGTCAAAGAAAGAGGTAGCAAAGAAAGAGTTCGTCAGGGAAAGAGTTAGTCAAAGAAAGAGTTAGTCAAAGAAGAGTTAGTCAAAGAAAGAGTTAGTGAGGGAAAGAGTTAGTCAAAGAAAGAGTTAGTGAGGGAAAGAGTCAGTCAAAGAAAGAGTTAGCAAAGAAACAGTTAGTCAGGGAAAGAGTTAGTCAAAGAAAGAGTTAGTCACAGTCAAAGAGTTAGTTAGAAAGAGTTAGTGAGGGAAAGAGTTAGTCAAAGAAAGAGTTAGTCAGGATATATGAGGTAGTCAAAGAAAGAGTTAGCAAAGAAAGAGTGAGTCAAAGAAAGAGCAAAGAAAGAGTTCGTTAGGGAACGAGTTAGTCAAAGAAATTGTTCCCGCAATGTAAATGGGATTGCAAGTGGTGCTGGTGGATGAGTTGCCGATGGAATTCCATTGTGATTTGCAACTCTAGGATCGTTCCCTCACTGTAAATGGGATTGCAAGTGGTGCTGGTTGAGGAGTTGCCGATGGAGTTTTGAAGGAAGTCTCGCACGAAATGCGTTTTTGAGAGATAGCAGATGCACGAAAGCTTATGTTTTTCCATACAAAGTTCGTCCCCGAACCTCGATGATCTACCTCTGCGGTGCGACGGGTGCGAGACGGTCTCGTGTGTGGTCGGATCATGGTCGGATCATTCTCGGATCGGTTCCGCATTGTAAATGGGGGTTCAAGTGTTTTTCGTGCATGTGCGGTCGACAGAATTCCATTGTGATTTGCAACTGTAGGATCGTTCCCGCATTGTAAATGGGGTTGCAAGTGGTGCTGGTGGATGAGTTGCTGATGGAATTCCATTGTGATTTGCAACTCTAGGATCGTTCCCTCACTGTAAATGGGGTTGCAAGTGGTGCTGGTGGAGGAGTTGCCGATGGAGTTTTGAAGGAAGTCTCGCACGAAATGCGTTTTTGAGAGATAGCAGATGCACGAAAGCTTATGTTTTTCCATACAAAGTGCGTCCCCGAACCTCGATGATCTACCTCTGCTGTGCGACGGGTGCGAGACGGTCTCGTGTGTGGTCGGATCATGCTCGGATCATGTTCGGATCATGGGCGGATCATGGTCGGATCGGTTCCGCATTGTAAATGGGGTTTCAAGTGTTTTTCGTGCATGCGCGGTCGACAGAATTCCATTGTGATTTGCAACTGTATAGGATCGTTCCCGCATTGTAAATGGGGTTGCAAGTGGTGCTGGTGGATGAGTTGCCGATGGAATTCCATTGTGATTTGCAACTGTAGGATCGTTCCCGCAATGTAAATGAGATCGCAAGTGGTGCTGGTGGAGGAGTTGCCGATGGAGTTTTGAAGGAAGTCTCGCACGAAATGCATTTTTGAGAGATAGCAGATGCAAGAAAGCCTATGTTTTTCCATACAAAGTCCGTCCCCAAACCTCGATGATCTACCTCTGCGGTGCGACGGTTGCGAGACGGTCTCGTGTGTGGTCGGATCATGCTCGGATCATTCTCGGACCATGGTCGGATCATGGTCGGATCGGTTCCGCATTGTAAATGGGGTTTCAAGTGTTTTTCGTGCATGTGCGGTCGACAGAATTCCATTTTGATTTGCAACTGTAGGATCGTTCCCGCAATGTAAATGGGATTGCAAGTGGTGCTGGTGGATGAGTTGCCGATGGAGTTTTGAAGGAAGTCTCGCACGAAATGCGTTTTTTTCTCCATTTTGGCGCTAGTGATTTTCCTTCTAAAAATCCTTTTAAAAAGTGCTTCAAAATCGTCTTTTTTTCGCTCTGGCGTCGAAATCCGGTTCTGGAGCTACAATTTCCGACGCCGTTGCGCGTAGTTCTATTGTGTTTTGCAACTCACATTGTAATGGCTGCGTCAAGGTTGCTTCATGCTGTGGCTGCATGCGTAATACTATTGTCTTTTGCAGCTGGACTTCGTAAATCGTATTGGATTGGCTGCATGAAGGCTGCGACAGTGATTTGTCAGCAGATTTCTCCATTTTGGCGTTAGTGATTTTCCTTCTAAAAATTCTTTTAAAAAGTGCTTCGAAATCGCCTTTTTTTCGCTCTGGCATTAAGATCCGGTTTTGAAGCTACAATTTCCGACGCCATTGCGCGTAGTTCTCTTGTGTTTTGCAACTCAGACTCCGCAGATCGCATTGGAATGGCTGCGTCAAGGTTGCTTCTTGCTTTGGCTGCATGCGTAATGTCTTTTGCAGCTCGACTTCATAAATCGTCTTGGAGTGGCTGCATGAAGGCTGCGAAATAATTTTGTTAGCAGATTTTCTCCATTTTGGCGCTAGTGTTTTTTTGTTGCACGTAGGTTTAGAGCAGTGTGAAGTCTGGGGCGTGAAGAGTGCAGTGTGAAGTGCAGTGTGAAGGAAGCAGTGGGAAGTGAGAAGTGTGAAGTGTGGAGTGTGAAGTTTAAGTTTGGAGTGCGAAGCGCGCAGTGTGAAGTGTGAGGTTTGGAGTGTGAAGGAAGCAGTGGGAAGCGTGAAGTGTGAAGTGCGAAGTGTGAAGTGTGAAGTGTGGAGTGTGAAGTTTCAAGTTCGGAGTGCGAAGAGTGCAGTGTGAAGTGTGGAGTGTGAAGACTTTGCTTCGTCTCTCGCTGAAAAAATCAAACGGTTGTCGAGGGAAGGACACGGTCGGGACAGGGTGTCTTTGAACTATAGGTCATTTATGTTTGGGAAACTTCCGCCGCCGGCTTGCCCGGGTCTATGTTATCCTTTGATCATCTCTTATCAGCTTAAATGCCATTGTTTCAACTCCGCATTGATTTCCTCCTGCTTCCTGTTTTCATATCGTCTTGTTCTGGCCCCATGAACAACTCTAAAGAGCAGGTGTTTTCAAGCAAGCAAATTTCACATTGTCGCTTTTGGAGCATGTATGGGGAAGTTCAAAATTTCCCACTTGTTTTGGTCGGGTGGAGTCTCCCGTGAAGGACTTTGTTCATATCGTTGAAGTTGCAAACTGCCTCACTGCTCCAAAGCATGCAGAATCACAGAGGCACTTCATAGCAGGGTTCATGTCAGCCGATTAGGAGGAACAGTCCAAGGGTCAACTGGAGTGAAGCCCTCCACCTTCTCCCATTCGGAAGCATCCTGGCGCTGACAGTGCCAACTATGACATTTGGGTACGTGAAAGGCTTTCCATGCACGTGCCAGCTCCCTTCGAATGCATACAGGCAGTAGGGACCCTGAGGCTCCGAAATTCCAGTGGAGTCGCAAACATAACATCCCATAGCAATTTGTCATTGCTGATATTCCTGCCATGTTGTGTAGAATCACCCAATGGGATGGGTTTTAACTGCTACGATATCAAACAAAGGGTTAATATACCTTTTGCTTCTTTTCCTTGTTGCCATACGCATGATTGCGCAGAGTCTCCTCGTATTCACCCTTTTGCCATGCAGTCGTTTGAGCAAACCCACACCGTTGATAAGACGTCAAAATTGTGCCACACACGCCTGACATTGACTTGAGCGCAGCTTCTGCTGCGCAGGATCTGCAGAGACCTTTTCAAGCAAACATCAAACAGATCTGGAGGCGAGACACGCAATTTCTCCCTGCGTCAAGTTTCAAGCACTAAGCATTTACAAACACATACAAACACTGCAGCACTATGCAAGACTTACGGTAGCTTAGAAAAACTTTCACGGCCGTGCTGCAATCAATCTTATGGCCAAGCAGCACAATTGCCAGAGGAATGTCGGAGACGCCCTCTTTGGTCCAAGAAGTACTGCTGATTCCTACGTTAATGGGCCCCAGAGCCCCTCAGAATCCCTCACAGCTGATTAATCATCCTGAATATTTTCAACGCGTGTGCCCAGAACTCTGAGACTCTTGGTGTTCCCCAAAACTATACGTGGCCAAATGCACAACTAAGATCTTCCAAGTGCATACCATCACGCCAAGAAACTGATTGCTTCCGGCAAGGTCGCAAAAGTATAGAATTGGCCCAGTTGGGTCTAAACGATCAAAGCACTCTATCCTTGGGATGGCTGCGGCAAAAGTCGAAGACAGAACTGCAAGTCATGGTCAAGTTATATAATTCTACGGTTTTATGCAACTTGCAAGATCTTTTCATTCTAGCTTTAGTAGGCGTTGCGTCAAATGTCTATTGATGTTGAAAACCCAACACCACATGTCAGGTGATAACCTTTCTTTGATGTAGATCTGTGTGTATCAGAGGTTCAGCAAATACCAAGCAGGAACTCCTTGTCTTGCAACAAAAAATCTGAAATTTGACCCTCTCTTGTGTCAAATCTTTCGCAGTCTAAGTGGGGTTGTTTTCCGCACTTGGTACCAATCTTTCATCCTCCAATTCCTGCTTGCGAGCGCAGCATTCTCCAAAACCCGATGAAACAGACTTAGTCAACTTTTTAAAGCTCTGGGATGTCAATTCAATGGGTCGAGCCTTCGCCCAGTTTACTGTCCAGAGCTAGTGGAATTCGATCTCGATATCATAAAAAAAGGTGTATACATATAATATTTACTGTATATGATATCACATGATTACTTATGATTATATATACGTATAAAAAATATTCATATTATTGTGCGAAAAGCAGAGTTTCTACGTTGCCCAACGTGTCAGGGGAACAACTTCATACAATCACAATATCCTCCATCAAATTTCTGATCTTGACCTCAACATACTCAACTTCACAAATGGCCAAAACAGCAAGTCAAGGAAACTGTAAACATTGGTGAAATCTCCAGCGAAGAATTGCGATTTCGGTTCATGTGGTTTCATTCTGTTGCAGCACAAATCATGTAGCAACACGGTTTGCTTATGTTTTAAGTTGATGTGTTTTGCAATATATTTCAGAATGCATTTAGTATCATCTATTAATCTTTCAACCTGAGAAGAAAAGTAAACATGTGCTTTCCAAAAAATTGTATCATCAAAGCACTGGAATCAGATTGGTATTTCTTCTGTACTCCACCCTTGGGCAGGAGTGTTATTTACGAAAAAGCTATTTGTCGATAGCGAAAAGAAAAATGGCTAAGAACGAAGGCCGATTCCAACGGAGCCAAAGAGACGACATAATCAGCGGTGCTGGGACCCTCAATGCCATTTCAATTCAGTTCTTTCAATTTTTCCTTTAGCAACGCATTCCAGAATGCGGTTCTGTTGCGTTTGCTTTCTCCGCTTCAGCCCCCTCAAAAAATCTTGCAGTACCAAGAATGTTGCACTCACAGTCTTCTGTGACAATTCATTCGCATGGCAAAAAACATGATGGCTACCAAGGTGTCCACCTCAACTGCTTCAGCAATCCACTTCCAAGCGCAACCAAGATCACTCACTTTCACAGAGACTTGAGAAAAGAATGGACCTTGTTCAATCTTCATTACCACCAAAGATGTTCAGGGGAGCTCCGCTTAGTCACAGGTAAAAATCATGGGGATGGTGAAACTCACTTTTATGCGCCAAGGCAAGAAACGCATTCCACAACCGGATTCCAGAGAACATATCTGCTGGAGGTGGCAAAGGTGCTCTTGCAGGCGCCCTGGGAATGCAATCACCAAAGAGCCACCTGCCGTCAGCTCCAAAACGATGCATCAATTGTATTCGAATTAATCCAGATTTCTGAGATATGTCATATTTTTGACATACAAACAGCGTAATATAGCGGTCTTGGTTTGTTGTTTTTTTGTAACCTCAGCGTGCCTGCAGTCATTGTTACAGTAGCCTTCTCCATGCCCACGAGGGCATTCAGCACAGCTTCTCGCAGTGTGCGCACCACACTGTACCTCGTGTCCAGCAAATGTCTTTGTAGTCTACTTTGCAGTCTACTTTATAGTCTTTCAATATGTTTCAATGTCAGTCAAAGGAATTACAAGTCGAGCAAGGATGAGTAAAGGTAGGACAAACAGTCAAGCAGTATGAAGGGGGTCATGTTTATATCGGTTACACCTTGTTTCAAAAACACATGTGCCTAAGATTATCTATACGTAAAAGGTTGTTCAAGGCGTTCATGATCCATCTTGTCTGTTCTCCCGCCTCATGACCGGGTGTCTCATTTACATTGAACTCGTCTGGGTGAGGAAAACCAGGAGGAACCCAGTTGGCAAAGTGCAACTTTGTTGCGACCTCGGATAGTCAGAAAATTCATTAGCATTCTCCAGACCTGTCCAAACGCAAACATGGCCGAATTATGTAGAGCAACCCTTTTGCCGAAATCGCATCATATTGCATCCAAACAACTTTGCACTCTGCCAAACGCAAACCTTGGCTTGGAATATGACACGTGGTTTCCCAAAACGGACGCAAACCAAAAACACCATCCTTGATGCCGGACTATCCTGCAGAAAGGACTTGGCGTAAGTAGACTCAGGCAACTCGCAAGAAAACGGTTTCTGCGGTTGAGGGGACAATGCGCAAGGCTCCAACACAGCGATTCACGAAGAAACCCGCCAAATGGACCAAACATGTTATCCAAGCGACTGCTGCCACTCCTTGAAATGCACTTGCCAGAGCCCTTGAGGCGCAATTTGAAGACATTATCCGGCAAAACACCTCCCTTGCGATACAGCCTGAGCAGAGCTCTGTGAATTTTACGACTGCAGTCACTGCGCGCATCTGAAGCCTGCAAGTCTTTCTCAGCTGGGCGCTTGCGGAAGCGGTGTAAGAAGTAGACAAATGGCTTGCACTGAAGTTCCTCCATACATACGCACATGCATCGTTCACCCACCTTTTTACAATTTTACATCCCTGTGCCAAAGCCTGCTCATGAAACTTCGATTCAGCAGCTGCTGACACAGGCTCAACCATCCTTTGAAAACAAAATACACATGTTATCCCATTGTCTTTGCTACGCTCAGCAATACATACTCTTTGTGTTGAAGAAGTGACATTGGCTGCATGTTGGGCTTGCCTTGATTCTTTGAGCCGCAGATGATACGTTGATTGATGGATTCAGGCCACCGTCTCGAAATTTGTCCTGGAATCATCTGGGGCGAATAGGTTTTCTACAGCGACAGCTACACTACACCTGCCGCGTGCCGACTCCTGGCAGCTCTTACAGGAGGAAAAAACAGTAGGTCTGTGTGCAAACACTGGCTTAGTATACCAGTAGTACCGCACAAGGCGGCGGTGGAAGTTTCAAAGATAAGACACTATAGGAGAGGTGACTTGTTGTGAAGCATGGATGGCAGAGCGAAACCGCTGATGGAAGGTAAGGTGGTTGGAGTTGTGTTTTTTGGAGTGGTTGCAATGGTTGCAGCGGTCACCTCACCCACAACTGCTGGTTGTAGTGTGGCGTAGTGCAGTTGTAGCTTGGTTGTAGTGTAGCGTAGTGGAGTTGTAGTTACAGTTTTAGTGTAGTGTGTAATGTAATCCGCCGACCCCTGCCGACAGCAGGGGGGAGCGCGTTAGAGAAGAAGGGGAGCTAGAAAGCAAGAGGCAAGAGCATGCAAGACGAGCAAGAAGCAGGGGCCAGAGCAAGAAGCCAGAAAGCAAGATGCCAGGGCCGGGCAAATGGAAGGTCCGAAGCTAGTTTCCAGGCAATGTTTGGCAGTATGGGCTGCCGGCTGCGTGGCTGCAAGTAGCTGCAAGTGGCTGCAAGTAGCTGCAAGTGGCTGCAAGTGGCTGCCAGTGGTTTCCAGTCATTTCAGACAGCGACGGCTGGCACTGTGGACTGCTGGCCGTACAAGACGTAGGCGAGCTGCAAAAGGACGCAAGCAAGTTGGGAGCTAGCAGTGTTATTAGTGTAGCGGTGCGGTCACAGTCCAGCGCTCTTGGCGGCATGTGCGCCCGGCATTGTTGCTTCGCGACTTTTCTACCCTTTTGCGCACCTGCATCGTCTTTCTTCTGACCCTTTCTCTTCTCATCTTCTTGCTTCTTCTCTGCTCTTCTCTGACTCTTCCCATCTCTGCTTTTCCATCTGTCCCTCTTGTCAGAAGTTTGACTTCGAAACTTCCTTTGCCTGTTCTGAATACATTTTTGATTTTTAGATGTTTTGTTGTCATGAAAAAGCACAAAAAAGCTAGCGACAAAACAAGATTGCGCACCTGCACCAGCATCCTCTGGTCACTCAGTTTCACACAGACATGAGCCTCCCAGGGGTCGGCGGCAGAGGGCCTAGCCCTTTAACTACATTACATTTAATTACCTTACCTTACGTTATAGTGCATTACATTACACTACATTACATCACACTACATTACATTACATTACATTACACTACATTACATTACATTACATTACATTGCATTACATTGCGCTACAACTACAACTGCAGCTACAACTACCGCTGCATTGCACTACATTACACTAAATACATTATATACACTACAACTACACCTACACTACTTTACACTACACTACACTAGACTATACTGCACTATACCGCACTACAGTACACAACACTACAGCACAAGTACGCTACACTACACTATACTACTTACACCACACCACAACTACAACTGCAACTGCACTAATTACGCTACACCACAACTACAACTCCACTACATTACAGCTACAACTGCACTACGCCACACTACATCCAGGAGTTGTGGTGAGGTGGCCACTGCAACCATTGCAACCACTCCAAAAAACACAGCTCCAACCACCTTTCGGTCCATCAGTGGATTTGCTGTGCCATCCGTGATTCACAACAACCAACCTCTCCTATAGGTTTCCTAATTTTTGAAACTTCCACCACCGCCATGTGCGATACTACTGTACTGGTAGTAAATTTAGATCGTCTGTCCAATGGATTCAAATTATTCAAACTTGGCTATGTTTCAAAGTATGGACCCCAGAACAAACCACCCAAATGGTGCATGTCTGAAAACATTGGACGTTGCATTAGACTGTGCGACAGACTGTTTCAAAACTTGATGCGTTCGGTTTGCCCCTTGATTTCGACTGGTTCCGTGATTTCGGTCAATGTTGTCCTTAAACTCACCGAACCACAAAGCAGCCACCCGCGCCAAGTTGTCCTTAGAACATTTAGAACACAAAACGGCATGACACAGCTCTGACGGTTCACATGAATGATGCCAAGAATCTCTCAGGAGGACTGAACAGGTCAGAATAAACAGCGGTCTTTGAATCTTTGTAAGTTTTGTGACTGGGAATGCGATGCTGTGCCACATCCGGAGTGTGTTGTAGAACTCAGTGGACCCAAATATCTACAGCAAACTGCAAGAGCAAGCAGCAATGCTTCGCACCTATGGTGCTTCGTTCGCATGCCTTTAACGGGGCAAAACATCACTGCAGTCAGAAGGGAGCAAGCGCCGGCAAAAAATAACCGTGTTTGATTCCAACGTGTTTTCCCCAGATACTGTGGTTCTTACTTCAAGTATAGGATGAGTTGGATAATTGTGTGCGTTTTGGAGCGGGCATGTTGGTTCCGCTGCAGAGTCTCAGAGTGAGCTGCAGGGTGCTGTTCAAGGTGCTGCAGTTTCACTAGTGTGTGCGCTTTGGAGCGGGCATGCTGGTGCCGCTGCAGGGTGCTGCCGCGGAGTGCTACTTCAGGGTGCTGCTGTTGGAGTGGTGTGTGCGCTTTGGAGGTGGCCTGCGCCGCTGCAGGGTGCCGCTGCAGGGTGCTGCTCCAGGGCGCTGTAGAGTGATCTGTGTGCTTTGGAGCTGGCGTGCTGGGTGCTGTTGTAGGGTGCGGCTTCAGGGTGCTGCTGTTAGATTGGTGTGTGCGCTTTGGGGCTGGCATGTTGGTGCCGCTGCAGGATGCCGCAGGGTGCTGTCAGAGTGCTGTGTGCGCTGGTGCCACTGGTGCCGCTGCAAAGTGCGGGTGCTGGCGTCGCTGCACGGGGGCTGCGAGATGTCTATGGCAGTGTGGGCTGTGGGCCCTGATGGAGGTGACGTTTTAGGCAGTATAGCCAGAAAGGTGAGCGCTTGGTTGCCGCCTTTTGCTATCTGGTGTCTATGCCGGCGCAACTAGCTGGACAAAGCCACAACCGGACAAGGCAATGCACTTTCAGTACCTTTGTTAGTGCTGGGCTGCTTTGATAGCGCGGCGACTTATATTTAGTATGTATGGGTTATGGGAAAGATCAAAGGGGACCTTCGTACATCGCGCGCGGAATTCAAGTGTTCCTGTCACGCTGTCATCTTTTCGGATAGCGCGTCTTCAATCCCTCCCCCGTTTCTGGAGTCTGCCCTGCATTGTCCTGCGTGTAACGACGGATCCTGAGGGAAACCTTCATACCGTGGAACATTACCCTCGGTTCTCCCAGTTCCGCCCACGCCGAAGGTGCCAAGGCGTTTTTTGTGTGCACGCGTTAGCCGGAAGCAATTGCAATAGCTGTTAAGCTTTAGCTTGGAGGCGGGCTTTATTGCTCTAGAACCCTGTGTTTTTCCACGTTTTTGGGAGGAACCTAAAATCGGCTAAGTTGCCAAACCTGGGCCCAGCATGGCCCAACATAGGCCCAACATGGGCCCAACATGGGCCCAACATGGGCCCAACGTGGGCCCAAAATAGGCCCAACATGGGCCCAACCCCGCTTGGCCCGACATAGCCCAACATGGCTCGCCACAGGGCCAACAGGCTCAACATGGGCACAACAAGGCCAACATAGGCCCAAGATGGCCCATAGAGCCAACATGTGCCCAACATACCCCCAACATGAGCCCTACCAAGGCCCAACATGGAACATATATTGATTTATTGGAGCTTCGGAGCTAACACTCCGGTGCGGGCGGTTGTCGCCGCGACGCGACCAGAATAAATGCGGTTGCTCATAGAACCTCCGACCTCCACAAGCTTGACAAATGCATAGCAAAGGGAGGTGGTGCGTGGTGGGTGTTTGGCACTGGTTCCTGCAGGGACCGAAGGATAACCAACATGTTCTTCCCAAGAAACATATTATCCTTTCTGCGTCATCCCTCATGATGGTCACTTCTCATTTTAAAATAAGTTTGGGTCCAAAACTAACATGAAAACTGCCACAATCGTCACTAGTTCCATGCAGAGCAAGTCTCTGTCTGGTGCTTCAAGTGGAAATGCGAGAGGGTTCTCTTATCGGAATCGATCCGCCACATGTGCCTTTCCAGGGTGTGCCAGAAACAGCAAAGTGTTGAACAAATGCAAATAGGTTCAAAGCAATGATGAAAATTGAGAAAGGCGAACATTCAGACTTGTGCCGCGCCGCAGAAGCACATGAGACAGTTCCAACTTCCGTCGCGGAAGCTTCATATAAACATGTCGAAACGACAAAGCATGAAAACAACACCTGGTGTAAAAGCCGTACGTGCAGTTTAGAAGTTTAGAGCAGTTTCGTCGCAAAATTCTTTCCCCTTCGGTTTTTGTGTTGCTTTTTGCAATTCCGGGTTCGTCTTGATGCTGCCTAGCAAGGCGCAATGCATAGCAGTCATTGGATGACATGCAGACAAGATCTCACTGGAAGACTTTGCTTTGAAAATGTCAACTCGTTTCAAGCATGCATGATACATGTAGCTTTTTTCCCTCCTGCACAAGTGCTTGGGTACTGAATGCATGGGGCCTGAAACGCAGGGTCACTCATAAATGCTGGTTACAAGAACTCGTGAAATTCTTTTTTCAGACATCAGCGTCAATGCGGTTGCAAAAATACATGTCAGTGTATCGTCCTTAAAATTTAGCATTGAAACTTAAACAAATATCAGTCTATAGTTTACAGATGTTTACAGCGTGACGCTACTTTTTGTAGTTTCTGCTCTGGGATTCTTGGATTTCGACGGTTGATCTCTAGCAGAAACTATTAGGTACCAACCATGTGAGTCTGCGCGCTGAAACGATTTTGTTCAGCAAAAGCATCCAACCTGTCGGTTGCGCTGCGTCACAAGTTTGGACCGCGTCCCAATTTTTCCCGAATGCGCAGCAAGGGTTCCCGTTTCACTCTGGGGTCTGGGGGTTGAGGGTGTGTTCGCTCGACGTTGCGTTTATGTTCGCAACCGTCCGCAACAGTCTGCGGGCGACCGTGTGAGCGTCGTATGGCTGTGCCTATGGTAAGTTCTGCAAAAGGAGTCACTATTGGAGGTTTCAAACGTCGCGTTGCTTTGTTTCGCGTGGCAGGTGTGGCCCTTCGTGACATTCAGACGTGTTTTGTAACGCGTCGAAATCGCTGTGTGGCAGGCGCAATACTTGTGCGTCGTTTTCAGAAGATGAGTGCCGGTTTTCCTGGAAGGTGCAGCGCTTTGGATGTGTCCATCTTCATTTTGCGTGGGAGGCGCAGCATTTTAGACGCGTCGTGTTGCATGTTTTTGTGCGAATTGCAGTGTCAGGGCTGTGTCAAGTGGCGGCAAGGTGCAAATTCCCTGGTAGGCGTGGCATTTTGTGAGATGTGATGAAAATTGACGGAAGCCTCGCACGAACATCGATTTTGAGCTAGCAATTTTTGAGCTTCATGAGAAAATTCGTCGGAAAACATCGATTTTGAAGCTATATACAAAGAAAGAAAATTGGAGGAAGTCTCGCACAAAATGCTCGTTTTGATGCTCCAAGTGTCTCGTCTCGAGTCTCTGGTTTTCCTGTGGCCTCGCCGTGTATATGGGGGAAGCTGCGAAACCTCTCCTTTTCGAACGTTTCCAAGCAGGTTGTCATGTGGTTTTGTGTGGCAGGCGTGACACTTTGTGACATTCCAACCTGTTTCAGACGCGTCAAAAGGTGCAATACTTCTGCGTCGTTTTCAGAAGATGAGTTGCAGTTTTCCTGGCAGGCGCAGCACTTCAGACGTGTCGCATTGCCTGCTCTACACTGTACACTCTGCACTCCACACTCTACATTTTACACTCCACACTTTACACTCCACACTTCACACTCCATACTCTACACTCTACACTCTACACTGTACACTCCACACTCTACACTTTGCACTCTACACTTTACACTCTACACTTTACACTCCACACTATACGCCTTACACTCCACACTTTACACTCCACACTCCACACTTTACACTCTACACTCTGCACTCCACACTCTACACTCCACACTTTACACTCCACACTTTACACTCCACGCTTTACACTTGACACTTTACACTCCACACTCTACACTCCGCACTCTACACACGACACTCCTCACTTTACACTTTGCACTCCACACTTTACACTGCGCACTTTACACTCCACACTTTACACTTCAGACTCCACACTCTACACTTTACACTCCTCACTCCACACTTTACTCTCCATACTTTACACTGCACACTCCACGCTCCACACTTTACACTCTACACTTTACACTCTACACTTTACACTCCACCCTCCACACTCTACGCTCTACACTCCACACTTCACACTCCAAACTCCAGACTCTACACTTTACACACACTCCACACAGGACACTCCCCGCTTTACACTTTACACTCCACACTTTACACTCCACACTCCGCACTCTACACTTTACACTCCACACTTTACACTCCACACTTTACACTCTACACTTTACACTCCACCTTTACGCTTTGCAATTTACACTCCGCACTTTACACTTTACACTCCACACTTTACACTTTACACTCCACCTTTACACTTTGCAATTTACACTCCACACTTTACACTTCACACTCCACACTCCGCACTCTACACTTTACACTCCACACTTTACAGTCCACACTTTACACTTTACACTCTACACTTGACACTCCAGACTTTACACTCCACACTCCTTACTTAGCCTTACTTAGCCTTACTTGACACTCCACACTCCACACTCCACACTTTCCACTCCACACTCCACACTTTACACTCCACACTCCACACTCTACACTTTACACTTTGCACTTTACACTCTACACTCCACACTTCACACTTTACACTTTACACTCCTCACTCCTCACTTTACACTCCAAACTCTACACTCCGCACTTTCCACTCCACACTTTCCACTCCACACTCCACACTCTAAACTTTATACTTCACACTCCACACTCCACACTCTACACTCTACACTTTACACTCTACACTTTGCACTCTACAGTTTGCACTCTACACTCTACACTCCACATTTTACACTTGACAGTGTGCACTCCTCACTCCGCACTTTACACTCCACACTTTACACTCCACACTCTACACTTTACACTCTACACTCCACACTTGACACTTTATACTGTACACTCCTCACTCCACACTTTACACTCCACACTCCACACTTTACACTCTACAGTTTACACTTTACATTCCACCCTCTTCCGCATTCCACTGTCTACAGTGCACTGGTACGGTAACAGGGGAAAATTGTAGACTGTTCAAATAACTTGTTTCACAAAAGTGTTCTACGTGACTGCATTCGGTTTCGTGGGCTGCATCTTGTTTCGATATTGATATACTGTTGATGCCTTGTTACGGGCAATTCTATGTCTAACAAACCACAATCAACCATGCAACAGACCTCTAACTCACGACCCGTGTTCACCACAAATCAATATCTCACAACTCGGTCCACTCGCTTTCACCACAAGCGATCTCACAACGCACTTCCACCACAAGACACCATCTCACGACCCACTTTCAAAACACGCCGCCATCTCACAGGTCCACAACGTCACCACTGACTTTTGCCACAAACCATCTACATCTCACAGGTCAGTTTCACCACAAGGCACTATCTCTCAATTTATATTTTATATAGTTTCGGCGTCGTCTCGTATGCAAGCTCCGTTTTCACAGCTTCAACTTTCATTTTTTTGGGGCAGTATTGCATGAAATGCGTTTATCAGAGATAGCGGACGCACGAAATTGTATGTCTGTTTCAGGACCTTCTGATCTTCTGTGTTGGGTCAGTTTCTCTTCTGTGAACAAGCTCACACTCATTGCGGCCGCAATGTGTTCAATGCCGTCTATAGTTGTAGCTAGATGGCTCCAAACCATGAAGGACTTCACTTACAGTAAGATCAAAGCCAATACAACCAGTTTGCAGCCCTGGGCTTGCAAATAGATGTAGAGATCTTTTTCTGAACATTTCTGAATTTCAATGTGAATTCGTTAAATTTTCCCAGCCAAGAAATGCCTCAAAATCATTTCCCTGAAATATTTTGGCGCTGCGTCGATTATGTGAGGCTCGGTTGGGACATGCATTTGCGCAACGATTGGGCAGGAATTTTTTGTAAAGCACTCTTCCGCCACATTCGCCGGAATAAAAAAGACAACAAATGACAAAAGGAAAGCAATGGATCATTGATCATGCACGACAGCACACCAGGTTCCAGGCTCCACTGTTTTCCAACTTGCTGATAAACAAAGCAGTCCTAGGATAACCTACTGAAGACCTGAGAAAGAGGGAAACGAAAGCCTGCCTCAGACATAGACTAGTGACCTTGGACCCCGCCGGTACCAAAACACACACACACACACAAACACACACACACACAAACACACAAACACACACACACAAACAC